TCGCAGCATCGCCCGGCGGGGGCCAGAGAGCCTCTCCCCGGGGCACGCGTACCCCTAGCTCACCCCCAAACCCTAGTAATTCACCTCGCTGCAACTCATTCTCCCGCTGTGCTTAAGCAGAGGCACGACAGCCAACAGGCTTATCTCCCAAAGGGCCAAAGGACAGCTGAGAGGAAGAGAGAAGTAGGGGTTTCAGGGTAAAACCAATCCTCAGAGAGCCCCCAAATACACGCTAGTAGCAACAGAGCCAGGTAATTTAAAAAACAAAACAAAAAAAAAAAAAAAAAAACCGAAACAGGAAGACTGATTACTGCAAGATCTTTTTCTTACATTGTGTCTATGACCTGGACCCTCTGCAGCATCCCGGAGGCTGCAGAGCTAAGGCAAAACACCGTGTGATCTTGGCACCAAAACAGCTGTAATAGCTTCTTTCACAGCTACTGTAAAAAGCCATAGTAGAGTGATAATTAAATTTGGGGCAACTTAAGATGAGCTGCTTAAGTGATTGAGGTCCCTATCCCAAGGAAGCATTGATTCAATAAAAAGCCCTAAAAATTTTCAAGGGAGTTATAGCCTACCTATGCTAATTAGAAACTATGTCAGTACACAAGAGCTAACATTTTTCAAGCATATAAAGCTGGGGAAAGGAAAGGGGGGGGAAAACATTCAGAGTGTTGGCCTTTGTCTTCCCAAATAACCATCACACATGATAGAGCCCGGCTTTCCTGGAGATGGCTGAACACTTGCCTGCCCATGGGAAGTGGGGAATGAACTCCTTGTTTCACTTTGCTTGCATGCACAGCTTTTGCTTTACTTACTAAACTGTCTCTATCTCAACCATGAGTTTTCTCACTTTTACTCTTCCAATTCTCTCCCCCATCCCACGAGGGGGGAGTGAGCAAGCGGCTGCGTGGTGCTTAGTTGCTGGCTGGGGTTAAACCACACCACCTCCATTAAAGAAAAACATCTTTAATGGTCTTGATAAAGAGACAGTCCTGAACTAGATCCTAACAGTAGGCTACTGTGAGTGAGACTCAACTTACGCTGCTCTTTTCTTACATATCATATTGAAAGTCTTACTCAAGTTTTAAAGTAAATTCTTCTGAACCAAAAAAATCTGTTTTAAATTAAAATTGAAAGTTGTATTTTTACAAAGTTTAAGTTTCAAGTAAGTTATTTTAACTTAATGTAGTTAGTGCCTAAGATGTTAATATGATCCTGATCAACTATCAGATTCCATTTTCCCAATAGTTTTAAGGAGTCCAGTTCTAGGCTTCCAATACTTACTTATTTTCTATCCAGCGCACTCAGTATTTACACCTTTTTTTTTTGGCCAGGAAAGTTAAGCTTCCCTGAACTTAGCTGAGGACAAGTATACTACAAAATATGTGAAGGGCTCTTTTTGAAGTAAGTTACTTTCTAGACCTCCAAGCTAATATATTCTTACTATAACTAGGTCATGAATAGATACCTTTGATTATTTCAGTGGAGTACAATCTAACATTTGCTTTACCAGTGGTTGTCAATAATCAGCATTTCAACATTAAGGTAAGTCGTTGCTCTGTATAATCATACACAACTATTATTCAAAACATACTTTTGATTCATTCTCCTCTATTCAGATCACATTAACTAGCTGCACCTTTACCATATCTGACCCCACTTTATCTCATGTTTTGGTTCTTGGCATTATTTTTACATTGTTTAAAAGAAATCTGAGAAGTCCCAAAGATTATGCATGTCCAGTTTACTCTCCTGTTTAAACAACTGAGGCAGTCTTAACTTCTTCTGATGACCCAATTGGGGCCCTTTAGCATTTATTTACTGAACAGCTGCTACTTCTTTTCTAGGACCCTTTCTAATCACACATGTATCCTCTCCTTCACTTAGAGACTTTTTCCCGTCTTGGTCCAAACAATGTGTGTGTGTACATATAAATATAAATGATTTTTTTTTTAAGTCAGATGAAGACTGAGGCAAAGTTACTGAAACTGTTAGGTTTTTTTGCACTGTCCTTTAGCTGTCAAGCCTCAGATGAATGAGGGTTAGTACAAGCTCTTTACCTGTATTTTAAGAGCATTGAGAAAAAAACAAAACAAAAACCAAAACAAGGGGTGGGAAAATTCCAACTCACCAAGCTGGTAACTACTTTCTGCAGCTGATACAATTCCTCTGCTGCAACACTCTAAATGGCTGAAGTATCCCTAGTCAAAATACGCATGCTTAGTGTAAAAGAACTGCAGGGAGACAGGACAAGATCAGAAACCTGCAATGAGGAATGACTGTTTCTCTTTTAGCGACTACATTTTGCCTAGACTTGTAGCTATGGGTTAAGGCCCTTTTGAACGACCATTACTAAAAGCATTGCAAGTCACTGATGAAGATAGCAAACAACCCAGTACAACTTTTCTTTTTGCCTTTCTTTTGAACAAGATTCTAATTCTGTTTAAGCACCTAGTTTTTCAGGGATTTAAACTAGTACCAACTGCACTAAAAAAACCTACATTGAGCTTTGCTTGCAGTCTACTTCCCACTACTGTGTTTCTCAAGGGCCTCTCAGATCTGTGCAGGAAACAGACTGAAGATCGGATAAATTTTGCGTGGAAGCCAGTCCCTGCGATTTGTTTTCTTGAGGATCCTGCAACTCTATCATATTACAACTATGATGCATGATCGAACTACCCACCACTCCATCACATCAGGTATTTTTGGTCACCTAACAGGTACAGCTTCATCAAGTCAGACTAAGCAGCAGTCTCTACAAGCTGCTGAACACCTTTGCTTACACAGGAGAGGGGAAAAACAAACAAACAAACAAATCACCCCCATCATCTAGGTCACCTAACTTCCAAAGAAAAATATAAAAGTCAAACCCTTTATTTTCTTTTACAAAAATACATATTTGCAGTCATGTGATAGTTGTCATAGTTGTTACCAGTTTACGTGGTTTCAAGAAACTACACAGTGCTCCAGGTTAAATATTTAAGATAATTTAGTACAAGAATGGCCACTTACTAATTTCTGGATTAGAAATGCGATTCATCAGGGTGTGCAAAAAATTTGCAAGTTAGAAATTAATGCTGAAGTGGCGTAGTTTAAGTAACATAATAGATACATTAAACTTTTGGTCATGAGTAATTGTATACAAACCATAACAGTATTAAAATACATTTTTTCATAAAAATACCGTTGTGACACTTTATATCTAAATAAGACATTTTTAGAAAGATGGTATGGAATATTTATCATACAAAAGCATATTCTAATAGCAGGATTATGTCATAAGTTTTTAAAAATTCTATCCAAGCACTTAAAAGCAGAGTTGTTTTTTTTTTTTAATAACTGTGATCCACTTGACATATAAAAGTGTGTGCTATAGCATTAAATTTATTGTACTTGAAACTGGTCAAAGTACAACACTGCATGTGGAGCAGCTGAGTTCTTATATACCACTGACACTTGTTCAGGAAAATAAACATCACATTCTTGTTGCTTAATATGCAAGAGGAAATTACTCTTTATGCATGTCTGCTATATGCATATACTGAGAATAATTTCATGCTACAATCTTTTCTTGCCACAGTTTGACCTTTCCATAGGCTTTCTTCAGCTGAAGCCAACATCATCTCCATCCAGCCCCATTACCTCCTCAAACATCCTACTTTATTACAGGAGCTGACTGCTATGATCTCCAACTGAAACAGACTGTGTATCAGCTAACTCTACTGAAATCATTGATTTTAAAATCTGTATTAGAACACCACTGTGTTTATTTCCTGTGATGAATACTGCATGCTTACATTTACACTAGTGATCCACTTTAAATCCTGAGTGTCAGGAGCTTAAAACCACCAATTAGTATACCATTACTTTATATTTAAGGCATGTGAGTAAGAACACTCTAACTAACTGACAATGAATGGAAGAGACCTCTTCAGGAAATTTTTTGTCAGCTGCCTTCTCTTCTTTAAAGATGCTAAATTAATATGGTTTTGGAAAGAGGGTAAGAAAGGAAGAAAGTTAAGAACCAATCTGATTATTTCAGCTGTCCCTGAAACAGTTTTGAAAGCAATGATTTACCAGTAAAATACCTCAACTATAATGTATTCTGACCAAGTCACATACCTATGCTAATTTATCACTAGATGAAAACTCAAAGGAAAAAAAAATAAAAAAAGCAATCAGATACTACATCAATAGGACAGTAGAGAATCAATATTGCTTACCCCTGAGTTAACAGGATTGGGTATAGCAGCACCAATTGGAAAACATTCTGCAATGCCAGCACTGCACCATGTTCCTATACTGTGGTATAGTTTCATATGCCCACAGATTTTTCTTTAAGAGCACTTATTTCAAACATTATTAGACACAGGAATCCCTTTAGTTGCATTGGTATTTAAGTGGAAAAAACAGTGAAAATAGTATAATGGGCTATACTATCAGTACGGTCCATTTGTAGTGTTAATATACTATTTAGAGCTGTGTTCCGAACTTGGTAAGCCACTGTCTTCTGTGAAACTACGTTTGTCTTTTGTTTTCCGCACAAAAAAAATCCAGTAGAAATCACGTTGTGCCAGTTTTGAGCAAGATGTCCCGTAAGTCATCTGGAAGTGCTAGTATAATATCATTGATGTGTGTCTGCAGCTTTTTCAGGGTGTCAGTTTTCACAGGAAGGCGTTCTCTGTCAGCTTGCAACTGCAAAGGTACAATAAAACATGATTTCTACTAAAAATGCAAGTTTACCTTAAGACACACCAAAGTGACATATTAGTGAATCTGGAAAATGAATTCCTTATTTGCTGACTGAGTAGGAATTTGGACAATAGCAGGTTTCCTCAACAACCACACAACAGCATGAGCTAACACCGATTCGGACTTTCAGTAATCACAAGAAAGTTTAGTTTCCTTCTTCCCTGAGGATTCAACCTTGCTCCCACTCAGATCAGTCAGAAAGTTCCAATTAGTTTTAAAAAAAGAAGATCAGTGCAATGCTTCCAACATAGCTGGACGATGTTGGGAAGCTAGCTAACTTTTCAGTCATGGCTGAAATGAATTGTTTTTGTTTTGAAAACCTGAATGATTGATTCCTTGAGCTATCTAAATCTTGAAGAATATTTTCATTTAAGTACTTGTAAACACAACTATATAATACTTTTATCTAGTTAAGTCACACAAATTTGAGCCATGCTCAATTCAGTTACTTACCAGTTTATTCTTTAACTTTAAGACAAGATCCACTGTTTCTACTTCAGTATGCTTCTGACTCCAGAAAACCAAGTTCTAAAAGAATAAAAATTAGGCATTGAAATATTTATGGCAACATATGTAATTTTCAAAGTAGTATTAATTTACACCTACTGTTCAGAATGGGTCTTCTGCTCTTCCTTATTTTCATGCCATTTACTAAACATGTACTGCCTCTACTGTGAACTGCAAAATCTGCTTTATTTGCATGTTTGCCCAGGACTTAGCATAACAGGAGACTAGCACACAAACACAATACAAACAAATAATTAAAAAAGCCAAACAAGCTTAGTTTCAAAAATAGCATCTACAATGCAAATGGCAGTGAACATTTACCAAATCAGATCTGCCAGCACAATGAAATACTAAAACTGTGCCAGGCAGCACTTCTTTTTTCTAGGGCATTAGAGGAGATCACATAGCTGATAATTATTAAATATACTCGTTAAGTGAATTTTCTTGTGGAAGTTCTGTTCCCCTACCCTTTTACTATTCACCTGTTAAAGACATTTGCTCATGTACAGGAAGATGTTAACACTTGGATCAAAAGAAAAAGCTAAGAAGGAGCAGAATCAGTAATAAATTTGTGACATTTCCTTTTCTTTGCAATAAATTCATGTCAAACATAGTTGGATAGATTCTAGGTGATATAATTGACCTAGCTATTGCCCTGCAAATTATTTAAGCTGCTCTATAACCAGTGCAATTTGTTTGTTTTAAAGCTGTGGTTTTGACTTACTTTTTTTTGTTCTTCCTATTCCCTCTTTAGCTGTATAAATCTGTTCTCCTGTGATACCTTTCTGTATCAGTTGTTCCAACTCAAATTGTACTGATACCCACTTCAGCTTCTTAAGAATGGATCTTACAATATAAGACCATTTATATGGCATTTTGTTATATATCAATAAACAGATTTCACTTCTCAGCTTCCAATTACTATGGATCAGTTGTAGGCTTACTTACTATCCATATCTAATTAGTTGTCAATTTTCTGTGGTACTCACTAAGTTTATACCTTCAGAGCTACAAACTATATCACAACTAAAAAGGTGGTGTCAAATGAAATGCCAAGGAAGGAAGCTGAATGAAATAACATTATCAAGAGGAAAAACTTTTTCCTTTTTTCTTTTTTTTTTTGTAGGGGTGGGGGCGGGAACGGCAGGTGTATTCAATTTCAAAAAACACAACAAAACAAAAAAGTACTCAAGATACATTTTACAAACAATGACAGTTCTTTAAAAAGTGAACTGTATTTCATATTGTTCTCTTTTGCTATGTTAGTTCTAGCTCATACTTGATTAACAAAACCATGTTTTGCTAGATCAGACTTGACAAAATTGACATTTTTACATTCAAACAATGAAAACAGCAGAGTAAAACGGACTTGAGGGAGAATATATTTTTATTACAAGATTATAGATATAACCATAAGCACACTTTTTTCTAACCTCATTACAGAGTGCTTCTAAATGAAGGGCCTCCAATTTCTGTGTCATTTCTTTCTGCCGGCTCCTAAACCAACCATCGAAGTTTGGCGATTTCAAAAAATGCCTGGTAAAACACCGAAGCAATTTTATATTTTAATTACAATTTTGATAACACTCTGTTTTCTATGTCATCAAATGTAAGGTAATTACGTTTGAGGTTGAAGAAGGTATTAGGACCCTTTCTCTGTTTACTTTCAAAAAAAATGTAATATTCTGAAGTGGAGTATAAAAGGTGCTTCTATTAATCAAGACAAGGATTGAGAAAACAATGTAAAGAAAAGGTGTCTGAAAGACAATAAATATTAGGAATTTTGTCAGGAAAAAAAGCAAGATTCAGATTGAAATATCCCCACTTTTACCTTTGTGTTTGATTGGAAGGTGGAATCAAGTTAGAACTAGAAATAAAACCACAAGGAACAGTGGTACAGAGAGACCTGTAGTGTTAGCAGGATCTTATGAAAACCATTAACAAGTTACAGAGAAACAGATTTAAGCAAGTAAAATATACTAAACACTATCAATTCCTATTAAAGCATATATTCTAAAAAGTAAGTCTTCTTCAAATCAATAGGGATAATAAGTTTGCTCAGGAAAAGAGCATTCATATTACTGATTTGTCTTCATTTATATAATTTAATTTTTTATGCTGATGAAAGAAATGACCTGTAAAGTCCTATCCAGTCTCCTTTTAAACCTGATGTGAGCTGTGGTCCTGCTTTCTCCAGTGTCTTCATGAAGTCATCTTGGCTAAACTGCCTCAGCTGTGGTGGACTCTATGGAAAGAAAAAAATAATTAGCATACCACAACTGTTTTCTCTAATCACTAATTTCCAGCTAATTTGAATTATATTTCCTTACTTTCCATGGTGATATGCATTTTTGCAAAGGCATTAGGCTTGCCACATAACGTTCCTAGGGAAAGGAAAAAGAAAGGTTGTTTGCATAACCAGTATTAAAAATACACAGCCCACATGTATGTTTACTTATCACTTGTGACGACAGCATTTTCTCTTCTAAGTATTGGTACAGGGTGAGGTCCTGATTTACCACAGGAGAGCTAAGAAGGAGCTTATCTAATACCATTTCTGTTTCCCAAATATAGAACTTTATGTCAGCAAGATTCAAAAAGGACACGAGGGAAAGGAGAGAAAAGGTATACATGGAATATTATATATCCTGAACTCCAGTCACTAGTAAATAATGTCTCTTTTCTTTGGTGATAGTCCACAGGTACCTTCCTATCATGGGTGATTCCAAACTGTAATCCCACTTTGTATCAAGTATTTGGAAGTGATTTTCAGAGTCCCCCATAGAAACATTAAATATAGCACTAACCTACAAAATGCTGCATCACCTGTGGGCATCTCTGCAGTAGCAATGGCAAAGGCATGGCTAGAGCCCCAACAGGCTATCTCATGTATGAGTAGTGGTGACATTTCTCAGCATGGCCACTGCTGAGGACAGAAGGCAGCTCTGCCTTGCCAGCTCACACAAGCACATCAATAAAAGCTGCTACACATTTTGAAAGTGTTTGTATGCAAGTGGCCATACATTTTGACCCATGAACACGATCAGCTTCGGTAACATTATGAAACGTTTAGTTCTGTCTTTTGAAGCAAAGAAGGACCCCCCTATATACTTTTCTTGTTGCAGAGAATGTAAAGGGTGGTCTCACCCTGTAAACTAAGATATATGACAGAAAAATGTATTTTCTCTCTTGAAGCGAAATTTTGAGCAAGATGGGGGGGAATGCCAGGGAAAGGTTTTAGATTCACCCTACATGTCCATCTTGTCTCAGAAGAACAGGAGAGAGAGAGAGACAAATTTTAAGGAGAAACTCCTCTAATCATTAACACCCAAGGAAAAACAAGTCTCTAGGAGTATCCCAGTTCTTGCAGACAGAAATTGGACTTGATCATGCATGCTCTAAAACGATGAAAAGTTCAGGTCATCTGCAGTAAGTGTTCAGAGAGCTCAGAATGGGACAGCTGATATGTAAATACCCAATGCCTGAGGTATCACTTTCCAATTTTAACCACTTGCCCAGAGAAATGACTTAACTGCACAGAACTTTTTGGGTTGAAGTCTATCGTTACTTGGACTTCATACCTCCAAATGCTAGGTAAAAGCATATTAGAACATATTTATCATTATCCTAATGCACAAATTAGAAAACAAGTGACAAATTTCCATTTCAGTGCAAGTCAAAGCCTACAAATCTGCATGGATTCAGCAACCTAAACACAATATTCATTTGTCAGCATAAAGGTATGTCAGGAGTCTGCAAACACTATAGCAGGATTTCAATTTGCAGGATAGGTACGTTTTTACTATTACATTAGATACAAATTCCTATTTTTCTAATTGTTTCAAATTGAGATCTGTCAGAGACTGTGCACTTATCTTTGCTGAACTGCATGAGGTTCCAGCCTGTTGAGGTCCCTCTGAACAGCAGCACGACCCTCTGGTCCATCAGCTACTCCTCACAGTTTTTTACCATCAGCAAACTTGCTGAGGTACACACTGCCCCATCATCCAGATTGCTAATGGAAGATGTTGAACAGTACTGTACCCAGTGTTGACCCCAGGGGTACACTGCTAGTTACTGGACTTACTCTGTCAGGCTAATGCCAAAAAAGCTACTCCACATTACATATGTAAAAAACCCATTAGTCTAAGAACTTACTAGTGGAATAATGAAACTTTCCGTCAATTCCAAAAAATACCTCCGAAGAATCACACTCTGTGCTTCTGTAGGACGTTTCTGTTGCACACCCTTGAAAAAAGAAATAAAATATCACAACAAGTCTGTTACCCCAAGATAATGGAAAAAGTTGTAGTTTTTTTTAAGAAGATTTATTCCAGTGTTTCTGCATTCATTTGCCATAAACCTACACATAGCATCTCCTACCCTGAACCATGAAAGGAAAGCAGTAGTGTCAAGTCTTTTTACACAGATATTCATCCCTTCAATTGCTGATTTTTTATTTTCATGTAAAGAAATTCAAGGAAAGAAAAGTTTCTATAAACAAACTCGTGCAAATCAGTTATAGTTTGGAAGCTCTGCTTCTTACATACCTAATGAGTGAGACTTCCAGACCAAAGAGACTAGAGGGGGATTGGCAGAGGGTGGAAAACCCAAAACAGATGAACTGATCAATCACTTCAATTCTCTAAATTATTAAGCTAACTTCTTGAGTTCTACCATTCATGTTGTTACAGAAACTGCTAATGAGGCAGCAGCCCTTCCACAATGAGAGTGTCTGTCTATCCAGTTATGAATTGCGGGGAAGGAATCAGAATCCAGTTTCATTTCAGTTATGTAGACAGAGCTCAGCCTTAAAAGGAAAACACCATATGACAGTACAAAAAACAGTTTCCATTAAGAAGAGACTTGCAGTATTACCTTTTGTAACTGTTTAACGATCTCTTCATCTTTGTTCAAGTATGGCTTGTAAGAAGTATAGACACCTGAAGAAAAAAGCAGCATATAGCAAAGGAAAAATGAGCTATGCTTTCTAAAATTAAAACACTGGTAATTTAACTCTGATGCAACTTATTACCAGGTTTGGAGTCCAAAGTTTTCAGGTTCTTCAGTTTTTTCACTTTCACCTGCTTTGGAACTTCACCTGCCAAAACATTTAAAGCCACCTTACTTGAAATCTCCATCTCTATTACTAGCTACTACAGTTGATGTGCTACACGTTGCACTGATTTTTAGAAAATGATGCTTTCATTTAGAAGACTATCTAATATTGTAAGAAACATTAGAAACACTAACAAGCATCCAAGTACATATCCAGAAATATCCAGTAAACATATGAAGAAAAGCCTATAGGCTTTTCATTTTATATAAGGGTTCCCTGTCGAAAACAACAAAAACCAAAACAAAACCAAACCAAAAAAACCGAAAAGGACGACCTTATGAATCAAAGCAGCCAAAGAAAAATACTGACTACATATCAGTGAATGACTGTCATTAATTTCAAATTGTATTCCATCTTCCTTTGTTCTCCGTAGACTAAATGCTTTCAGGAACAAATCTTTACTACCTTGGCCAAAATAAGAATTGCATACAGGAAATTGAAACAGTAGCCATGGATTAAATGTTGTAAGAAAATTAATTTAAGTCTCCTTTTCCATAGGCCAAACTAAATTTGTTTTGTTTTTCAAATATATCCTTCTCTAGCCAGAAGTCCCTAAACCCTGCTAATAGTCTTGCAGCCTCAGCAGAACCTTCGTCTTAGATGTAGTTGGATGCTTAACTTCAGAAAACATGATAGTATAAATTGCTATTGAAACTGCGGAGTGGGGAGAAAAGGGAAAATAAACCGCAACAACAAAGTCACAAGTCCTCTCTTTGTCCCTAAAGAAATAAAATTTAATTTTAAGACAGGTCAGACAGATACATCTCTAGAACTTCCTGACTAAGCATTTCATGTAGATGCATCAAAACTTTAGAATTTCATACTTGAAACCATACATCAAATTTGAAGGCAACCTGTGTATATAGCTTTGCAGAGGTTTAATAGTTTAATTAAGATTCTCTTTTCCAAACCTTAACTACACAGCAGCTAGCTAACTCCTCTTCACACACCCCCAAAACCCAACAGGTATTCTGAAGCATGGACAGGCATGTTATTTTAAAGTAAAGCAAAACCTTGCCCAATTATATTGAACACAGTACGTAATCCTTAGTTAATTTGGTGTATTCAGAAATTGAATGTAACTTATTCTACAAAAATGAATTTCATGGTGTATTATCCTAACTGGATATTTATGCACTCGCACTGTCAGAACAGAATAGTGAACCTGCCACAGCAAACAGCTACATTCAGGAACTTCATATAATAATTAGAGGACTGCAGTATTTTATTGCAGGCTAGCAATTGACATGTTATCCAAAGATTACATTAAAATTCTACTCAATCCTCTAAGGAAACCATCCAACTTGAACAATAATTACTGGAATATTGTCAGATTAGAAACATATTATCAAAATACTATCAACAAACAACTTTTTATATTACTGTAACATTCAAACTTAGCTTTCACATGGGTCTTGCTTTCTGTGCACTTGCTGTGACTGATTTACTACATTGTACTCACCCTAAAATTAACATCAGTAATAAATGATGTTTCGCATTTCAATACCTTATTGGTAGAGACAAAACCAGGATTGTGTGAAAGGTAAAACAATAGTAATAATGTTTAATGTTAATGTCTAATTATTGCTAAATTAACTGAACTAGATCACATATTTGGTAAATAAATAAGCACACAGTTAGATCTTGTCACACAGGATTGTAGAAGATATTTGTACTTTACCTGGAAGTTTAATATCTCCAATTCGGATAATGTGTGGCCAATGCTGAAGTGTTTTAGCAAAAAAAGGATTCGTCACCCCTAGAATGACAGAAGGTCTAGAGAAATAATGACAATGTTTAAAATATGATAGTAAGAGCTTCTGTCTTAATGAATACAAAAGGTCAACTTTAATTCTTAACTTGAAATTATTTTCCTTTCGTATTTAAGAGTTAAATTTTAAGTTTCACATAAGAGCACAGTATGTTTATCAAAGTTTTTAAGTTTTAGAAAATAGCAAGACAGATGTACCTTAAAGTCCAAATGGTAGTGGAGAATAAAAGTGACTCATCTGCTTAGACTCTTGGCTAAATTCTGCCTATTTGCGATGATGAGAACAGGGTATTGTCTCTTTTTTTTTTTTAAAACGAGCAGGAATCTGACCCATATTTGAAAGACAAATTGCTACTTTTCAAGGTTTGATTATAACAAACTCTTAGTACTTCAATGTGCATGTCAACATGACTACTGTTTGTATGAGACTTCTCAGTAGAGCTACTGCTCAGATGACATGATTAAGAGAAAAAGAGACACTTAATATCCTACTTCATTTCCAATACTTTAGTGTTCTTTGTTAAAAAGCAGTTATTAAGTGATGAAGTACAAGCATGTTAACAGCGCTGTGCCCAAGCTCACAACTTGTCAGATTTCTCTGTCTACTCTGTGCTTGGAACCTCACTTCGAGGATGCATAGGGGCACCCAGAGAACAAGAGGCAGTAAGAACATAGGGCTGCTGCTATGGCATAGGCCTGCAGAATTTGGGGTTTATAGCACTAATATGATGAAATATCAACATATTTTTCAGCACAGTGGCTGCCATCCATTTTACAGCCAAATGTTAGCTAAGGAGAGAGTATAACTGCAAGCCTCATTGGAACCGCCATATTAAAAATAGGTTATCATCACTTCTTCAGACTGGTTTTAAAAAATACCAAAATTTTAACACTTTCTGTACACCATCCTTAAGTTTCCTGTTTATCAAGGCAAGGTGGGGAGAAAAACAAGTAATCTTTCTCTAAATTTCTACACAATTCTTCCAGCTATATCATGATGGCAATTGGGCATCAATTTCTATGTTAACCTCCCTCCACTTGCTAATTATAACTATATATATACACACACACATATATAAAAAACACTCATTAGGCATCCACAGATAGGACAAAAATCTGATCACACAGCTCTGTAGCTTAGTATAATGTCTGGGCTATGGAAACAGCAATTTTCATCTCTCCATTCCATCTTAGAATGAGCAGCACCAAATTGTATCAGCTTCTCAGAAGTCTTTTCTTGCTCGTCACTGACTCAGCTTCACCAGAAAAATCACTTCTTCCAAGTCCTACTGCTGTTCAGGTATGCTCACCTGAAAACATTTTATTCCAGATATTATATATTTTTTCCCCACTCATTTGAATTCAGTTTCATTATTTTTTGCTGTTTCTATAATTCTGTTAAACTCATTTGCATTATTGATTTAAATTCACTGGGATTTGCAAACATTGTTCATGATTTTTCAGTGTGATCATACATGATTTACAATCTCTCTTCCAAAACGATAAAAACCAGTGCCCTTAAAAAGGTCTCAATGGATTCCTTTGCTGTACTCTGAAAAATCAATTTATGATGTTTTATCTTCTGTTCTTTTCACGGTCATGTCATGAATCAACATAAGAAACAAACTGAGGCTCAAAAGAACCCAAACAATAGGCATTCTTCTCCCTAAGAATTGATCAAGTCTAACCTAACTCAACTATTAAATCTTCTCATGCCTATTTTGTGGGAACCAAAAAGCAAATTTCACACAGAATTGGTTTGGACCAATGTACACAACTTGACATTCCTTTACTAACTGGGAGGTTAAAGACTGACGGTTAAAATCAAGTAAGGTTTTCATTTACACACACATGGACAAAAATAATAATTCTCCAGGTCAAGGTAAACTGGTAGCAAATCATGAGGAATCTTGTTTCACTGCTACTGGTGATACAATAGCAAGACTTGATAAGCTACTTGGTCACTTTTAGAAGCCTTAATCTATCATATTTACCAGAACCAATTCCAATGTTAAACCACTGAAGTAATTTCTGAAAAGGCATGATAAATCAAAAGATCAAGATGACAAATACCCCCCTGCTTCCCTCTCACTAAAGGTAATAAAATACACAGAATCAGCATCATCTGGATTCTGCCCCTTCTTAGAGCCACTGCTTTAAAAGCCTATTTCCAATCCTTCTGGTTTTTTTTGTTTTCCATAACAAAGCCAGAGAATTCTAGCTCTATTTCAAATACTAATGTATGTATTGAACAACCTTTCTATTTTGCTACAGAGAAGCAGATGCAATTTTTAAACATAAGTTACTGAAGTTTAACCGAATTCGCCCTGGAATTATTTTTAGAAACTGAATTACATACTGCATAACCATTCCCACGGAATACAATCTGAAACACAGTGCCTATGTTTGTATGTTTTTCCACTGCTGTATCTCTGGCAATACTTTTGTTGAGAGGAAAAATACAGCAAAAAAACCCAATGAAACAAGCAAAAAACCCAACACAACCACCACTGCCTGTTCAGACATTAGAAAAAATTTATTTATAAAAAGATCAGTGAATCTAACACATGCACTCCATTCCCAAATCAAGTTGCATTTAAACAGCATATAATAAGAAATATTTGAGGTGTATGCTCTCAAAATAAGAATAGGATTAAAAAAAAAAATTAAGGTGGAAAGTGTGTCCTTAAAGCAGATTCAAACAACTGTTTTTGTAGACTCATGCTCTTAAAAAAAGAATCTTGATTTCTGAATTATTTCCAACATTTTTTGTAACAAATTTAGTAAACAGATATTTACTTTTTAAATTACTGTCTCAACTAGGACACTGACTGGACTGACTTTACAAAACAGCTGTATGGATGTTGAATTTTAGAAGTCACTTTGTTTAGCAATTGCTTAAAAATAAAAAGCATTACAGAACAATTTCCCAAGGACCTACTATGGAGCTGGAGTTGCACAGACAAACCCTTATGGAAAAGCAAAACTCTTCTTGCTTTTGTATTTGCAGTTCTACTTATTCTGTACACAAGTATCCTATGAAGCTCAAATGTAGTTTAATTATGACATTGTTTCATACTTCTTTATCCTATCTAACTGGAGTGAAAACTTAAAACAGCTAATTACTGCACTCTGTAAGATAAATCTTATAAATGAGATGTCAAAATATAATTCTCTAATGATAGAAATTCAGACTAGTTAAGCAGTATCTTAAAACAAATTTATGGTCACAAGTAGCTTTGAGCAACACCTTCACAACAGTCTGATTTACTTACGGGGCTTGTGTGCGAGTTGTATATTCTTTAAATTCACTGTCATGTATAGTAAAGTATGGCCTGAAATCACTGCAGTATTTTAATGGTGAAATACAACTGCAAGGTAGAAAGAGGATAGGCTTGTTATATGTATATACTGCAAAATTTCATGAAAGACACAAGCAAATCTAAAATTTGTAATGCTCTGTTATATTCAGATCAAACGAATTTGCACTCAGCTGCAATCTACAATGACTCACTTAGTCATTAGTTAGGAAGCTCCGCTACATTTACCTAACAAGTGCCAACACGGTCTCTGAAGATTCTGATGGTGATGGTGCCATCACGACAAGTGGTTCTCCTAGCAGTACTAGTTCCCAAAGCATCTGAATGTGAAAGAACACTGGACAGAAACACCTAAAACCAGATTGAGGTATTTTAATACACTTAACATAACCAGAAGAAATACGTATTTGATTACAAATGGGATAAAAAGGAAGTTTGCAATAGTATTTAATAGTCACTTGAAAAATACAAAATACTCTTGTAAAATGGAACTTGCTTATTTATTGCAGTTTCAGCCTGCATCTTGTCTGAATTGTTTTTTATCCAGTTTTACATAAAAAGAATATTAAAAACAATACCGATAAATGTTAGCTTGCAAGCTATGAGATATGTATCATGGAACCATTATAAATCTTTGACTTGTGTGAATTCACAACTAGGAATAAATCAGTCCGAACTCCTACCTGAAAAGATCTACTTCATGAACAGTCGGTAAAGCCATGGAGATCGGAGCATCTGCCTAAAAGACATTGCAATGCTTGTTTTTTAGTCATCACAATACCTAGGTATTAAATGACAGAGTTTCCCTTAAATGCTTACAGACAGTAGATGGGATATACCCTAATTATTTATCACTACTGTACTACTGCAGCATATGCTACGTTATCTCCACAAGTAACTATTTTTGTGTGCTAAAAGCAAGATTTCCCCCAACATACACACCACTTATAGGCATGCGACATTCCAGAAGAGAGATAAAATACTGAATCTATTTTAAACAACAGTGATGCAGCATGTGAAGGCACAGACAGATTTGTTTTATATCCATCTTCTATGGCTAAAGATTTTGAATTTGGTTTTCATTCTCAAAAAAACCCCTAGTTTAGTACACTTTCATCCATTAAAAGGATGTTCCAGTACAGTAATTTTGTGAGCCAACTATCCTCTTCCAGGAGTTGGACATGCCTCTTCTAATGTACTTGGGGTAATTGCATTAGAATACCTTTTCTATGAGGAACCCAACTGTAGACTCCTCCACTCAAAATTTCAAAGACTGTGGATTTCATTATTATCAAAGTATATGAGGATTTGCTACCAATCTTTTATTAACAAGTTTAAAGTAAAAGAATGAAGGCACATATTTAGCTTTGTCTTGTGGTTATATAAAATAGAAGTATCTACCTCGTGCATATTCTGTACTATTGGCGTTGTTCCAGGCTTGTCACGATATGTTGGAATCCGCAACTTTGAAAGAAAAAGGAAGATTTTTTTTTTTTTTAATCTTGTATCAAATTCAGCAAGGACTTAAAATGCTGACTTACAGACAAAATGTAACATTTAAAGAGGATATACTACAGTATGATGCCTAATTTACTCTACAGAACATCCACATAACAATGAATATACAGCTGAAGAGTACAGATCATTGCTACAGGAATGCATATGCAATACTATGTAGTACTACATTGCAAATTGAGTATTAGGATATGAAAATTATACTTCAGTTAAAAAAGACTATTGATAACATTAGTCATAACTATTACAATAATTTCAATAATACTACATTTAAATGTTGGAGAGAACTATGTGAATTAAGGTTATGGAGTTTTAAGGTGGTACAGAATTACTTTTAGAAAATATCCTCTCCTCAAACATCAGACATCCTGGTGGGTATGAGGCAGAATCCAAATAGACTGAAGAACATAAATACATTTTTCTGACCTCACAGTCCGCATCTAAGTTTTGAGCACTACAAATTTAATCATACTGGAAGCTGGTGTGTGCAAATGGATGTAATTTACATACAACAATTATAACTGACTGCCTAAGCAGTGTGAAAAAACAGGGACTAACTATATCACTGAAGATAGTAATTATGGCTTTACTCAGTTTAGGAACACAATTTCAACTCTCACGGATAGGAATTACTGATGAGATAAATGCAAGCAATACCCAAACAAGACATACTGACACTCATCATTATCATCCAGCATCCAAGACACTGCTTTATTAAATTTGGGCTTTCAGAACAGCTTCAGAAACTTCTCCTTCCTCTCCCTGGTGATGTACATGCGTCTAGCCATAAACTTGAGAGTATCTGTTAGGAATGTACTTCTGACTGTAACCTCTGGATCCATCAAATCCATTTAATTGCATTTCATACGAAGATGCTATGGCTCCCAGAAGCCTGGCTCTTCATGACCATTTAACCTCTACAGTTCCTGTCCATGCACTAGATACAATTTCTTTAATAACTTTCTTCAGACATATTTCATTACATTGGAAATTACCAACAGACCAATAAATTAATTTCTGGTGTGTGGGCCAAGAAAGATTTTTACTTGTCAAATTTCAAAAACAAGAATGATTTCCATTAATATATTTAATTTGCTTGACTGGAACTTAATTCTCAGTAGTTTGAAATGTTACTTAATGTTTGATTTGACAAATAAAATTAGCATTAAAGTCTCCTAGCACGCATATTCCAGAAGGATAATATAGACACTGCAATCAGTGGTTGTATTGAAACATTGCCTTTTATTATCTAAAAATTACATGTTAACCTATGCACCATAACAGATCCTCCCCTCCTCCCCCCCAATCAAGGAACCTAATCAACATCTCCCAGATCTTCACTCTGAGTAGAGTATATATCTATTCCTGTTCTGAAGTATAAGACACTGAAAACAAGGTAGAATCCAGTGAGTACCTATACAGTAAATGGAGGGGAAAACACCCTCAGAGGAAAATAAGTGCAGGAGTATTTACCTTCATTATAGTACCCATAATAGGCAAATGCAGTATCTTCCCTGGAATTGGTGGTTGCCAACGATCTACATCACTACAAACTTAAAGAAAAAAAAAAAGTATAATTTATAACTAGTTTATATATGCTACAACCCATCATATTGTAGTTGCCTTTGTTACACTGCAATTTTAAATTAGTGCTGATAGCCCACAACAGTTCTACTTATCCCTTGATCACTTTACATTCTTAACAAGTTTTGCAGCCTTTTTGACATTCTTAATGTATTTTGTTAGAACTATAAAGTTTTTCATTTCAAGAAAACAGTATCCTTTTGTCTTCCATTTTTTGTAGCAACTAGACTCGCAATTAGTTGAAGAATTGTTATATGAGAAACCATGAAACTACGTATTAAGAAACTTTGAAAAGAACACACACATTTATGTACGTTAGCTACCGTAGAACAGATAAACACAAGTAGTTAAGGAAAAAGCTAGCTTTCTAGTTTGTTTAGAAAGTTTTTCAACATTTTATTGTAAACAATTATGAATATTATTACTAATTCTAGTAGTTTCTGCAGAGCTTATTTTGCTCATAATACAATCTGTCAAAAAAACCCTATTTATCTACAGATGATTAAAAAATACAACTCCTTCATCACAAATGGTTTCCACAAATTGCTGCTCAGTGAAAGCACAGACAGGAATGTTGTATAGGACAACACAGTACAAAGAACACAACACTTCTAGGCAAAGAGCAAATAACCTCCCATTTGGCCCTCTCCAGCTCTTAAAGTTCTACAGGAAGGCTGAGGCACCTGCTATCAGTGCTGCTCTGTTGCTTTTTCACTTTTGTCAAAAAACCAAACAAAATCATACAAAAAACCCCCATGCAAGATGACATTTGTACAGTTGCTTAACAAAAGTTGTCAGAATGCCCAAAAGGACTCAATCTGTGAAGACTACAAACTAAGGATTGCCATCAGCTACTTGTGCTGAACAGCTGGTCCTGAAACATACAACAAAACCCTAGATGTTTTTTAGGGGGAGCTTCAACTCTCCCATGAAGGATCCAAAATTAGATTAGCTCTCTTCAATGACCTAGAAATCAAGCCAGTCCACTAAAGTTTCAACCCTCTATCCTGCAAAAGGACAGAAGCGCAAACTAGAACGTGATAGTGTTGTCTGCTATTTCTTCAAAAGAAGTATGTGAGATTATAAGAGTTCTTCCAAGAACAACATAATAGTACCACTACCTGCTTCCAGGAAAGCTTCACTTTTTTCAAAATATTCTGGTGCTATTTGCTTAAGCATGGTGCGAAAGAGATGGACATAAGGTAGCTTGCTGATGAGGACCAGCGACTGAAATGAAGAGTAACAAAACAAAAATATAATCTTAAGTTAACCCTTTCCCTCAGTACTACTAAAGTTCTATTCGTTATCCTCAGAGAATGTCAAGCATGATTTTTCTCACACATGCAAGCCAACCACACATTTGACTACAAGCAACTGCAAACAAAAAACTCCCAAAAGTTGCCAAATTTTTGTTTTTAAACACACACACAAAAAATCTGTTCTGACAGTGCAGCTGGATCATAGCACAGCTGATGTAAAACTAGACCAATTTACTATAAATCAACAATAAATTTAGTTAAGAGAGCAAGATACTCTTCCTGCTCCTCTGAGGTTACTGAAAAATAATTCATTTCCGAATTAATATTTTCCTAAAAGAATTGAAATTACCTTCTGGAAATAGCCTCTTTTTAATGATTTGTCTCGAACTTGTCTGAAATATACATAGCCGTAATAATATGCTGGATCTTTCTGCAAAAGAAAGGAAAGAATTCAATATAGCAACTTGATACTGTCCTTTTTGAAGCATTTGATATGCATTTTAAAAGCTTATTTCCCTGCAAGCTCCAAAGTTGATTAGATACAATAAACTAGAAGGATTACTTTATTGCCTTTTTTTTTTTTAAGTAAGTACTTCAAAGAGGAAACAGCAGTGTGTGGAAACAGTTCTGCTTTCTGGTTTTACTATTTTTATATCTACATTCTCCTGACATACCATGAAAGTAAAACCAGAATTAATTTTCAGAGGAATAAATCACTCATAATTTTGCTAAGTAGCACTATAAAGATTTTAGCAGTTAAAAACCTTAAAGACCTGACTTTAATATGAAAACTAGTATTTCAGTGTATTAGTTTTTTTATAAAAGATTCTTGGAATATTGAGGAAGCATACTCTCACATTTCAAAGATAAAACATCAGCTTCATCCTTCCTACAAACAGGAATTTAAGTATTTGCCACATAAACATATCTAAATCGAGTTTGAGAATCAGACTCCTACTAGCATAGTTAAAGCCCTCAATTGTTCCATAAGGATATGTTGAGAACAACTTTTTGGCCACTACCTCTTTTAGGTAACTGCTCCATCTTCAAAAAGTGAAGGGTGGAAATAGAGAGACATCTCAACTTTCAT